TACTATTAAATAAGTAAAGTATTTTCCAAGAGCACAACAATATTGAAGTTAAATCCCATAAAAGAGAGGAAAAAATCTTTAATTTTAAGAAATTCGGATTTTTGAATTTTTGTTAATTTTCGATAATTTTACATTTTTTACGAAAGAGTCGAGACTATTAAATAAGTAAAGTATTTTCCAAAAGCACAAAAATATTGAAGTTAAATCCCATAAAAGAGAGGAAAAAATGTTAAATTTTAAGAAATTCGGATTTTTGAATTTTTTATAATTTTCGATAATTTAAGATTTTTTACGAAAGAGTCGATACTATTAAATAAGTAAAGTATTTTCCAAGAGCACAACAATATTGAAGTTAAATCCCATAAAAGAGAGGAAAAAATCTTTAATTTTAAGAAATTCGGATTTTTGAATTTTTGTTAATTTTCGATAATTTTACATTTTTTACGAAAGAGTCGAGACTATTAAATAAGTAAAGTATTTTCCAAAAGCACAAAAATATTGAAGTTAAATCCCATAAAAGAGAGGAAAAAATGTTAAATTTTAAGAAATTCGGATTTTTGAATTTTTGATAATTTAAGATAATTTAAGATTTTTTACGAAAGAGTCGAGACTATTAAATAAGTAAAGTATTTTCCAGAAGCACAAAAATATTAAAGTTAAATCCCATAAAAGAGAGGAAAAAATGTTGAATTATAAGAAATTCGGATTTTTGAATTTTTGATAATTTTCGATAATTTAATATTTTTTACGAAAGAGTCGAGACTATTAAATAAGTAAAGTATTTTTCAAAAGCACAAAAATATTAAAGTTAAATCCCATAAAAGAGAGGAAAAAATGTTGAATTTTAAGGAATTCCGTTTTTTGAATTTTTGATAATTTTCGATAATTTAAGATTTTTTACGAAAGAGTCGAGACTATTAAATAAGTAAAGTATTTTCCAAGAGCACAACAATATTGAAGTTAAATCCCATAAAAGAGAGGAAAAAATCTTTAATTTTTAGAAATTCGGATTTTTGAATTTTTGTTAATTTTCGATAATTTTACATTTTTTACGAAAGAGTCGAGACTATTAAATAAGTAAAGTATTTTCCAAGAGCACAACAATATTGAAGTTAAATCCCATAAAAGAGAGGAAAAAATCTTTAATTTTTAGAAATTCGGATTTTTGAATTTTTGTTAATTTTCGATAATTTTACATTTTTTACGAAAGAGTCGAGACTATTAAATAAGTAAAGTATTTTCCAAAAGCACAAAAATATTGAAGTTAAATCCCATAAAAGAGAGGAAAAAATGTTAAATTTTAAGAAATTCGGATTTTTGAATTTTTTATAATTTTCGATAATTTAAGATTTTTTACGAAAGAGTCGAGACTATTAAATAAGTAAAGTATTTTCCAAGAGCACAACAATATTGAAGTTAAATCCCATAAAAGAGAGGAAAAAATGTTGAATTTTAAGAAATTCGGATTTTTGAATTTTTGATAATTTTCGATAATTTAATATTTTTTACGAAAGAGTCGAGACTATTAAATAAGTAAAGTATTTTCCAAAAGCACAAAAATATTAAAGTTAAATCCCATAAAAGAGAGGAAAAAATGTTGAATTTTAAGGAATTCCGTTTTTTGAATTTTTGATAATTTTCGATAATTTAAGATTTTTTACGAAAGAGTCGAGACTATTAAATAAGTAAAGTATTTTCCAAGAGCACAACAATATTGAAGTTAAATCCCATAAAAGAGAGGAAAAAATCTTTAATTTTTAGAAATTCGGATTTTTGAATTTTTGTTAATTTTCGATAATTTTACATTTTTTACGAAAGAGTCGAGACTATTAAATAAGTAAAGTATTTTCCAAGAGCACAACAATATTGAAGTTAAATCCCATAAAAGAGAGGAAAAAATCTTTAATTTTTAGAAATTCGGATTTTTGAATTTTTGTTAATTTTCGATAATTTTACATTTTTTACGAAAGAGTCGAGACTATTAAATAAGTAAAGTATTTTCCAAAAGCACAAAAATATTGAAGTTAAATCCCATAAAAGAGAGGAAAAAATGTTAAATTTTAAGAAATTCGGATTTTTGAATTTTTTATAATTTTCGATAATTTAAGATTTTTTACGAAAGAGTCGAGACTATTAAATAAGTAAAGTATTTTCCAAGAGCACAACAATATTGAAGTTAAATCCCATAAAAGAGAGGAAAAAATCTTTAATTTTAAGAAATTCGGATTTTTGAATTTTTGTTAATTTTCGATAATTTTACATTTTTTACGAAAGAGTCGAGACTATTAAATAAGTAAAGTATTTTCCAAGAGCACAACAATATTGAAGCTAAATCTGATAAAAGAGAGGAAAAAATGTTGAATTTTAAGAAATTCGGATTTTTGAATTTTTGTTAATTTTCGATAATTTTACATTTTTTACGAAAGAGTCGAGACTATTAAATAAGTAAAGTATTTTCCAAAAGTACAAAAATATTAAAGTTAAATCCCATAAAAGAGAGGAAAAAATGTTGAATTTTAAGAAATTCGGATTTTTGAATTTTTTATAATTTTCGATAATTTAAGATTTTTTACGAAAGAGTCGAGACTATTAAATAAGTAAAGTATTTTCCAAGAGCACAACAATATTGAAGTTAAATCCTATAAAAGAGAGGAAAAAATCTTGAATTTTAAGAAATTCGGATTTTTGAATTTTTGATAATTTTCGATAATTTTAGATTTTTTACGAAAGAGTCGAGACTATTAAATAAGTAGAGTATTTTCCAAAAGCACAAAAATATTGAAGTTAAATCCCATAAAAGAGAGGAAAAAATCTTGAATTTTAAGAAATTCGGATTTTTGAATTTTTGTTAATTTTCGATAATTTTACATTTTTTGCGAAAGAGTCGAGACTATTAAATAAGTAAAGTATTTTTTAAAAGCACAAAAATATTGAAGTTATATCCCATAAAAGAGAGGAAAAAATGTTGAATTTTAAGAAATTCGGATTTTTGAATTTTTTATAATTTTCGATAATTTAAGATTTTTTACGAAAGAGTCGATACTATTAAATAAGTAAAGTATTTTCCAAGAGCACAACAATATTGAAGTTAAATCCCATAAAAGAGAGGAAAAAATCTTTAATTTTAAGAAATTCGGATTTTTGAATTTTTGTTAATTTTCGATAATTTTACATTTTTTACGAAAGAGTCGAGACTATTAAATAAGTAAAGTTTTTTCCAAAAGCACAAAAATATTAAAGTTAAATCCCATAAAAGAGAGGAAAAAATGTTGAATTTTAAGAAATTCGGATTTTTGAATTTTTTATAATTTTCGATAATTTAAGATTTTTTACGAAAGAGTCGAGACTATTAAATAAGTAAAGTATTTTCCAAGAGCTTAAAAATAATGAAACTAAATACTATCAAAGAAAGGAAAAACTGTTGAATTTTAATAAAATCGGTATTTCGAATATTTGATAAATTTTGATAATTTTAGAATTTTTACCAAAGGGTAGAGACTATTAAATAAGTAAAGTGTTTTTAAAGAGCCCAAAAATATTGAAATAAGATTTAAAATTCCACTGGAATTTTTTAAAAATTTGATCTTGAAGTCATGGAAAAGGTATGGAATTTTAAATTCGGATTTCTTTAGGAATCCTGATTTTTTATAAATAAAAATCCTTTTTCTTATGTTTTTTAATTTAATTTTGACTTTCATTATTGTATAATATTATTAAAATTATTTGATAGTCTGACTTCCTATTTTAAAACATACTGTTATTCCTTTATGTAGGCAACCGGATCAACATTTCTCGCAGCCGACACTTTCTTCCACAAGTCACATACAGCTCTCAAATTTCATCCCGGAATATTGGAATTCTACATGAAATAAGGATTTGAATAAAAATTTGTTTGCAATAATACGATGTTTCTACGAGCGTCAATATTATTTTCGCTATACAAATTGACAACTTTGCGACGTAAAAAATAAACTTATGAACTGGGTTGCCTATAGAAAGGGGTTTTTACAATTGTAAAATAAGTAATATTATTGTTAATTGTTTTAAAATAAAAAAGTTATTAGCGCTAATTTTTTTTTACTTTCTTACATAATTGTAAAATAAATAAACATCATTAAATTAATTATTTTCATAGAAATGAATAAAATAAATAAATTTTTATAGATTAGTTAACATGATTAGGTAAAGATACACAGGAAAAAAAGTCTGACTCCGTTTACACGGTTTACACCTTAAATTCAGCCCATGTATTTCACATAAGTTTGTCCTTGTTTAACGGGGCTGACTCCTTTTACATCTTAAATTCAGCCTCAAAAAGAGGCTGAAAGTAAAACTTTTTTTTTTAGTGTGTAATTTAACCCATATATAAGGTAAAAGATGATTCGTTTTTTTTAAGTTTTTGTAATTAATAAATAATTTTTAATTTTACATAATTTTCCAATTACTAATTAACTAATTTTTCAAAATAATAAAATAATTTAATAAAATTAAGAGATATTTTAATTTTTCAAAATTTTGTATGTTTGTCATTTTTAATATTTTTATTGATTACAATTTAATAAATTGTAACTCTAGATTTACTAATTAGCAATTTTAATTTTTAATCTTTTTAAAAAATTATTTTCAACAAATATCAAAATTAGGAAAAATTTTTTTTTCATATTTTTCTTTTTAATTTGACATATTTTATATTAGGTATGTACATTTTTGTAAACAAAAAACCCTTTATTTATGTTTTTGTATGAATTTTTATTATTACAAAATATTGTTTTTATCATTTTCAACAAATTAAAAGTTACTTACCTGCTTTATCATACTGTTAAGCCTTTGCGTAGGCAACCCGCTCAACCTTTCTCTGCTGGCTGGCTGGTTGTTGACACTGACAGTTCTCGAGGGTTCTCGACCTGTAACACCGTTGATAAACTAGAGATTTGTTATTTGAAAATTTTCAATGATTTTAAATTTCCCGCCTTTTAATAATGAGACCTCTGGTGGTTTATTATAAAAGTTCAAGAATTTGACATTTCACCTAACCTAAAAATATTCACAAAACGTCAACGTCAAATATTGTAAAGATTATTTACATTATTTGTTGACAAAAAATTATTAAATTATGGAGTCAATGGGACAAGAAATGTCTTCTAATACCATTCTTGGAGTTGGTGAGTTTAAAATGCATATTTTAAACATTTTTTTCAATACAATTGATATGTAAGAAAATTCGGAGAATAGATTATTTATGTTCTGTAAAACAAAGTTTTATTACTTTTTTTATTATCTAGTGTCGATCATAATACATAATTTTATAATAATTAAATTTATAATTCATGTTATTTTTAAGCTTTAGAGTCAATATTTTTGGGTGTCCTGCAAAATATTTCAAATTCAAACCTTTAAGAGAATTCGAAATTTGTAAAAAAAAATATGTAATGAATAAAATTAAATAAATTTGTATCATTTAATAGCTTGGCAGTGGATAGCATCAGTTGGTTGGTATTTAGTTGGATTAGGATTCGTTTTATTAATGGCCTCGTCGTATTTGCAAGAAAAATATAATAGTTGGAAGTCGAAAAAAGATGAAGCAGAATATTCAGCAAAGTATCATAAAGGTATGAATTATTAATTGATTTGTTTTTTTTTTGTTCCGTTGCATTTAAATTACAAAGTATTTAAATTCTTTTATAATTTATCCTTTCCCCTCTAGTAGATAATGTGAATTTCACTACTAAATTTAATCACGTTTTATCAATATAGACCCGGATATTGTTTATCAAAGACTAACAGCCATAGAGGAAGTTAGAAACAAAATGCAGGAAAAGTACAATGAGGATGCTGAATTTCGCAAAAAAAAGGTTGAAGAGGTGAGTGTATTTTTAAAATTATTGTTTAATAATTCACGCAAAATATTCTCATCATTAGTGAATTACAGGGCTCGCACTAGTTCCGTGAATCTCGTAAAAGTCCGTTTTTTTTAAAAAAAATCCGTAAAGTCCGTAATTTGATTCAAAAAGGATGAAAAGTTCGTAAATTGTACAATATAATTTGGAGAATTTTAGAGAAATTACAAATGATTGCAGAAATTCAATTATTTTCAAAAGTAATAAAATTCTTCGCAGAAATTCAATTATGTTTAAGAATTTAAAAAAATTCTAGTCAAAATTTCAATTATTTTTAGAAATGATTAAATTCTTATCCAAAATTTAATTATTTTCAAAAATTTTAATAAAATTCTTGTCAAAATTTAAATTATTTTAAAAAATTTTCCTGAATTCAATGATTTTCAATATCTACTATTTTAATAAAATTACCCAAAAAAAAATTCAATTATTTAAAAAAAATGTAATAAAATTCTACGCAAACCTTTAATTATTTTCATAAAATAATAAAATTTTTACAGGGATTCAATTATTTTCGTAAATAAAATTCTTTTTAGGAATTCAATTATTTTCATAAATAAAACTCATCGTAGAATTTCAATTATTTCTTAATACAATTTTAATCGAATTTCTCGAAAAATGTAATTGTTTTTAATCAATTTTATTAAAATTCGTCAAAAAAAGTCAATTATTTAAAAATTTATTGATAAAATTCTTTATGAGAATTTAATTTTAAGAAACATGCAATTATTCAATAAATTGTTTTTTTGTATTTAAATAATTGAATTCTAGTAGAATATTCTAATAAACATTGATTGAAAAATCGATTTCAGTTTCAAATTTTAGATTATAATTGAATATTAAAAGCATTAGAGCGGGGATTTTTTAGAAATAATTGAATTTGGAAAGATTTCATATTAAAATCTTTGAAAATCTAAATTTTTCATATTTTTAACTAACAAATTCTGTGGAATTAATTTTTTTGAGAAAGTTTAATTGAGGATTTTTTTTTTGAAATTATTTGAAGTTTTCATTTTCTAATATATATATATATATATATATATATATATATATATAATTAATTTTAAGAATTTACGAATAATGGGAATTTTGTAAAATTGAATTGTAAACAAATGAATTTTAAAATTCTCGAAGAACTTTTTAGAAAATTATTAAAAATAATTGATTCAAAGATGAATTTTAGATAAAAACACGAAAAAAAATTTTCATTTTCTAAAAGTTACAAATTATTGAAGAAATTCAATAATTTTCAAGAGTAATAATATTCTTCCATATTTTTAAATACTTTTACTGGTTCGAGCCCTGGAATTATTTAAGATCAAAAACTATTTGTTACTAATTTTCATTTTGTCTGCAAATACAGAATAAAGAGAAAAAAAGGCAAGAATTATTAAAAACTGAGGAAAAAAGTAGTGGCAATAGACTTGGTGGTTCAACAAGTGATTCTAAATCAAGACTATTAAAACAAGGTGAGTTTACTCTTCAAGCAATATTTATTTATTCATTTAACATTATATATTTATCATATTATATTTTGAAAATAAATAACTATTTTTAGACTACAATCCACTAATGGGTAATTCGAGTAGAGGTTATCGACCACCAAAACGAAGTTGTTGTGGAAAAGGTGGTTGCGGATAAGTAAGAAATTTTATTAATTTTTTTTTTATTCTCTTCTATAAAATTATATTAACATTTTTTTAATTCTTTTAAATTAATTTAAATAGTTAAATTTATTTCAAATATTTTTTAATCAATTTTGAATATATTTTTAAATCATTTAACACTAAAATTGTATAACACTTTTATATACGCTCAAGATATAATAAAAAAAAAAGAAATGAAATGTATAAATTACATATTTTTAATTAAGGATTAGGTGAAAATAATTAATAATTGTTATTATAATGAGGAATAGTTTAATTTATTTAATTTAAATCTACGCATAATTATATGAAGCGTAATTTATTACGTAAGATAATAATTATTATATACGAATAGAATAAAATTTGTCTGGAATATTATTAAATATTTTTTTTCATTTTTTGACTGAAAAAGTTATCCCAAGAAAATCTCTCTTATTACTTTTATTTCTGTTCGTTTAATTTTTGTTTGAAAAGTGTGTAGTAGGAGTATGACGCTTTTAAAATCTGCAAAATTAATAATTTAATAATTTAATAAATTATAATTAATGATCGAATAGAAGAAATAAATTTAATTGAATAAAATTGTAAAATTTAATTTTTTGAAATATAATTATGTACTTATGAAATTTCTCTTACCCATATAAAGACGTTAAGTCCAAATTTATTGAAAAACATATAAGTTACAAAAACTTGTTTCTGACTTCTTTGAATAATGAAAAACATATCTTTTTGAAATTCAGTCACTTGCTTCTCCCAATGTGTCGTCATGTAAACAATATTTGAAATTTGAACGCTCTGTAAAAAATAGATTATTCATAGATTTATTCAGTAAATTTATTCATTAATATTATATTTTTATTAATTTACTTCGTACGACATTATTTCACTGTAGTAAGTCGTTAAAAAGAATTTTACTCCACTTATAGTTAAATATCCCACTAAAGCACCATTTGCAAGCTGAAAAATTAAAATTACAAATATTTTTGTTTCACATGAATGATAAAGAATAGGAAAAATTTAATTAATTTTAAAAGTATTTAATAAACTACGCACTTGAGTTGCATTAATCACCGAAATTCCAAATAATAACAAACTGCTCACTAATTCCAGTAAAATTATGACGCTTAATTGTTGATTAATTTTGCGAATAAAGCTAAAAAATAAATTAAGATTATCAACTAACAGACTTTCAATTATTTTTAATTTTTAATACAATTTTAACGAAATTCCTCGAAAAATGAAATTATTCTTCAAAATTTTATTTAAATTCAGCAAAGAAATTCAATAATTATTTTAAAAACTTTTGCTACAATTTATTTATTACAATTTAAGTATTATTTTCAATACATTTTTAATTAAATTTCTTCAAAAAATTTAATTATTTTAATAGATAATGAAATTCTTTGTAACAAAAAAATTTTTTTCAAAATAATTTTCATAAAATTCTTCGAAGAAATTTAATAAATTTCAAAAATTTGTCAAAATTCAATTATTTTCAATGTCTACTAGTTAAATAAAATTTCACAAAAGAATTCAATTATTTAAAAATAAATTTTAATAAAATTCGTCTCAGGAATTCAATTATTTTTAAAAGTATTCTAATTCTTCCCAGAAATCTAATTATGTTCAAAAATTTACAAAAATTCTCGTCAAAATTTCAATTGTCTTTATAAAAAATAAAATTCCTCTCTGAAATTCAATTATTTTCAAAAATTATAATAAAATTCTTAGCAGAATTTCAATTATTTTCAAAAATTTTCCTCATTTCAATTATTTTTAATATCTACTATTTTAATACAATTTTTTAAAAGAATTCAATTATTTAAACAAAATTTTAATAAATTTTCCTATACAATTCAATTATTTTCAATGCAATTCTTCTTAAGAATTCAATTATTTTCACAAATAATACATTTTTTATAAGAATTTAATTATTTAAAAAAAAATATGAATAAAATTCTCAAGAATTAAAATTTTTTAAATTTTGATAAAATGCTTTATAAATTTTAAAAATTATAACAAAATTGATTACAGAATACAATTTTTTTTTTTGTAAAGTATAACATTCTTTCTAGGAAAATAATTATTGTCAAAAATGTTTGTAAAAATCTTCGAAACAATTCAATTATTTTCGTAAAAAATAAAATTCTTCGTATTAAAAACCTGGAAAAATTCCGTTTTCTAATCTGGAAAACCTGGAAAAGTCAGGGAATTTGAAAAGAGCAAAAGCGTGACAAACCCTGTTTTATTATCAAAATTATGATTATTTTTCCTTTATTTTATAAAAGTCTTAATATTCTCAATTTTATTTTCAATTAATAATTATAATTTACAAATCAAATTGATAACAAAATTTCCTTTATTTAAAAAAAAACTTTGAATTTCATTAAAAAATCGTAATTGAGAAATAGAAATGGTGTTAATTAATTCTTTAAAAAAAAATTGAAATTTTTCTACCAAAATTGTAGGAACATAATTTCAAACTTCGAACTGAATGAATGAAAGAATACGAAGATTATTAAATAAAAATTGAAAAACGAAATATAAAATAATAATTATAATTTATAAATTGATAAATTCTTGAAATAGAAAAAAATTCAAAGAATTTACCATAAAATGTGAGCATGATGCTTGACAGTATTTTTGAAATTAATTTTCACAGGATACCAATTTTTCATTCGAACTCTCTTGGTTTTAATTTTGATTTCCTCGAATGAAATTTCTTTCACGATATTGGAGAAATTTTCTTGACTCACTCGCAATTGATGTGCCGAATGAATAAACAATGATATCAAAAAGAATGGAATTTGAAAATCAATGAAAATCACATAATAACTGCAAATCGTTTGATAAATGTAACCCACAATATATTGAAATTTATCGTCATAATTAAATGGTAATGAAGAATGAAACGGAATCCATTTATCATTTAAATTAACTCTTGGCTGTAATAATGCAATTGATACTGGAACAATTGATATTAAAGTTGAGCCAATTAATAATTTTCTCAGGAAAAATTCAATTTTCTCACATTTCTGAAATTTCTCGGTCATTGGCAATAATTCCCCATGAACTTTGCGATTAATGAAAATGAAAATTGTCGCCTTACACCACGCCGACACGGAAATATGTGCAACCGGAAATATATCCACGAAATTAATTAAACTAATTGAACGTGTATAAAAATTGAGTAAATCAATAACAGAGAATGTTAACAAAAAATAAAAAATCAAACGATAGATGAAATATACGTGTCGAAAGGAATTCATTTCCTTCGGGGCAATTAAACCCAAAATTTTTAAAATTCTCACGTTTAACGTTAACGTCTTCATTGTTGAAAAATTGAAAACAACTGAAGAGAATAAAATCGACAATGTCTTCGAAATTATTTCCTAATTACGAAAAAAAAACTTTTTTTTGTTCCTTTATTGATTTTGCCAAATTGATATTTAATGGCTTTTTAATCCTTAATTATAAAAGTTTGGGAAAAGGTTGGAAATAAAAAACTGTTTAACATTACTTTTACTTTTATTAATCATCGTCATCGTCGCTCATCGTTATAATAATGCAACATATGTTTTTGCCAGTAGTAATTATTATAAATTATCTACAGACACATTTTTTTTCTTGTGTTTTGTGTACGCATCACTATACATTTCGTCTTTTAAATTACGCAATCGTTTATTTTTTCTGTTCGATTCAGTGAATACGATTTTGTTTTTTAATAATAAATAAATTATCACCTATATAATAATGTTTCGCATTTTTCAGTAATATTTACATAATTAAAAAATGTGAAGAGACTGCATCGAAGAAAAAAAAATATTATTCATCAGCCTTCCTTTTTATTAGATTTAGAAAAACAAAAAATAAATTTTTCATTCAACTCACTTTGTTTTTCTAAAACTAATTCCTCAATAAAAACTATTACTGTACAACTAGCGCTAATAAATTATTCTATAAAATACGTAAATCCAAAATGAATTTTCAGTCGATAAATTTTTCTTTTCAATTTTTTTAGAGCCATAAATATTGGCAGTATCGTCTCAATATGCTAGAAACAAAATTGATAATTATAAAAATTCAATTTTTAATTAAATTTTACGAGTATTTTTCAATTTTTTTTAATGATATGGATTAGCTTTTTGTTCGTAGCATTTTTTTTTTTTTTTTTTTTTTTTGAAATTTTGAAGTCACTTTTTCAAGATTTTTTTTTCTCAAAATAATATGTTAAATTTATAAAGGAAAAAAAAATTATAATTATTCGTATTAACAACTGTATGCAAACACAACAGACGAAAATTTTTTTTTTTGCTTTACGTCGTACAATTTTATACACATCTATTTTTACTTTTTTATTTTATTTTCTTATTTTTTTTAGTTTTTGAAGGCTTTTCTTTTTGTTAAAACTTAACATGATGAAATTACAAGTATATTTTACAACGAATCATCACACTGATCGTTCAATGGAGAATGGCAAATTATAAAAATAATACATTATTATATTTTCTCCGTGTGATTAGTTTGATGATCCGGCACTTCCCTGATACGACTATGATTCTGTGGAAGAAATTTTATTTTTTTTCCATTCATTCCAAGAATCGTAGTTCGACTATAAATCTAATGGGGGATCTTTTGTCGGAAATGATTGATCCGATATTTCGTTTACAGTTTTTTTTTATTATCGTAGGGTTGGTGTAGAATTTGTCAAAATATTCCATTTTTTCTTATTTAAAATTATTTTAAAAAAGAAAATATATAAATATTCATTTTTTTGTATTATTTTCGAATTGTTACTAAAAAATAAATATTTCTATATTTTAAGGAATATTTTGACAATTTTTGTTGAAATATTATTTTTCACTTTTGTCGAAATATTTTCGGAAATAAAATTTTTTTTTTGCTCTATTTTTATATGGGAAATGGAATAAATTTTTTTACAATTATACCAACCACAACGATTATTTTTTCATGATTAGTAACTTGATAGTCAAAATACACAGGATATTTTTATTATCTACGCGCATTTTTAGTTACATTTATTTAAATATCGATTATTCTGGAAAAGAAATTGGCGAGAAGGAAAATAAAAAGAAAAATTCATTTAAAACATATCGAGAAGAAAATAATTTTCCAGAATAGTCGAAAATTGTTTTTTTTTCACAATATATAGCGATAGATCCTAAGATATAAGAAACCACAATTTCTACCGTGTGTTTCCAGTAATTAATTAGTATTAAAATTTACATTATCAAATTGACAATATTTTGCCTCGTCTTATTTTAATTACAAGAATATTTGCTTTTTGTAATTAAAAACTTGTTTTTTTATATAAAAATTTATGGAGTTTTTTCAAATTTGTTAAAAAATACAGTTATTTTTTTTTATTTCTCAGTGAAAAATTAATTAATTAATTTTTAATTTTAATTAAAGTTAAAATACTTTTTTACTGAAAACACACTTGACGATTTTGCTAAATTTCACACTCGTAGCAGTTAATTTAAATAATAATCTCTTTGTCTGAGTAATTTCTTCGCATACTAGTTTTTAATACGATCTAAAAAGATTTACAATTTAGTATGCATATTCTGGCAGTTTATTTACTTTTTTTTGTTATCTAATATACAAATTATCATTTGAATTTGAGCGATTATACGGCTGTAAAGTGGATGCTCTTTATATCTTAATATTTTATGGATTGTTTTCACAAATACTTCCCTTTATATCATTTTCTCAATAAAATAATAATAACACCTTTCGTTAAAAAAAAGCAAAAAAAAGTAAAAACTACATAAAAATATATTATTTAAAATTGGAGAATATTTTGAAAAAATATTTTAAAAACATAATTCTGTAATTTAAAAATATTTTTCTTACAAAATATTTTGTAATAGAAAAATATTTTTATTGCAAAATATTTTGTAATGAAAAATATTTTTCTATTGCAAAATATTTTTTTGTTACAAACATCTTTTATATTAAAAAATATTTTTGCATTTAAAATTCTTTTTAAAATATTTTTTTGAAACTAAAAAGTATAATATTTGAAAAATGCTTGAAAGTTGATTATTTAAAATGTACAAAGGCAAGGCGACAATGCCGGCAAGATTCTGAAAAAAAAATCGTATGAACTTTTGTTCTCAATTTTTTTACACATACAAATTTTTTAGAACCGCGTTACGTATTTAAAAGATTGAAAAAATATTTGAAAAAATATTTGAAAAAAATATTTATAATCATATTTTAGAATAAATTTTTCTAAAATATTTTTTATACCAAACAAAATTTTTTTTATCTACAATACAAAATTTTTCACTATTTTTTTTCGTTTGATTAAGAATTTACCGAATTTTCGTAACAATATATTAATTTTTTGTTTAAATAAAAAAAAGTTTTGATTTAAATAAATGAATAAATAAATTATAATCGAAATTAAAAAATTGTTTGCAATTCGTCGATCTTTAAGATTTCGACGTTTTTCCATATTTTTATTATATGGATTTTTTTTTTGCAATAAATTTTGCAACCTTTTTTCTTTACTTGTGAAAAATAAAATTTTCACTTTTCTCACTTAACTTTTGGAGCATTGGTATTAATATTACATATATATATAAAATTTACTCCTTTTAGTTTTCGCTTACGTTACTACAGCGCGTACGTGTTAATGATGTGTAAATTAAAAGCTAATGACTAATTTCATTAATTAACTTTGTACAATGTATACAAAACCATTGATATGATTATACACCTTAGACTCGTACTTTTAATATTTATATATTTATTTATATATTTATAATGCATTGCTATATTATTTTTTGTTCTGGAAGAAATGCACGCCGATTTTTCATTCTTCTTTTTTTTCCGAATTTCATTTATTTTTCCCTAAACAGAAGTTTAACAAATTTGCATTTTTTTCATGGCAAAAGGACCATTAAAAAAAGTAAAATTAGTATTTTTTTTATACTCGGTATATTTTGTATGATTAACGGCAGTGAAGGTAAAATTGAGTTTGTTGAGAACTGATTTCATTAGCTTTTGCATTATGTAAATTTGTCAAGTTTATCTATTGAGAGAAAGATTCTTAAAAGCTGTCCAACTTTTTGAATACAAAATTAATGTTCAGTTCGTGTGTAAGAGAAATTAAAATTTTATTACTTGGAAAAAAGGGAATAAATAGAAAAGAAAACTTTACCAAAAAAAAGAAGAAATTAAATATCTTAGTGGGGGGGAGATTAAAAAGTGAAACGACGTGATTAAGCGTAAATGCAAAGGAGAAGAAATTGATCACTTTTTATACAGTCTTTGCTTTTGAAGAATCAAAAAATGATTCTCTATTGTTAAAAAAATGCAATGTCAACAATACTATCGTTCAAGTCACGACATTTTTTTTTTAAGTACATGACACAATTTGCGGGGACAAAATCGTTTTGCAAATCGTGAAATGTAATATGAGAATGAAAATAAAAAATTAGCGGAAGAAATAGATAATTTCTTCATTAAAGATTGAAAAGCTGTTTTCCTCTTTTTTCGTGGGATTCTAATGGACTACGATTTTTGAGATTCATGAGTAACTATATTTACAGAGTTTTTATTATTAGTTTAAGAGAACCAACCACGTGCAGCACTTATTCATAAAGTACCTTGGGAGCAAAAAATAAAAAAAAATGTCATTTTTCGTCAATTATTTATAAAATCGTGAGGAACCAACACCAAAGTACTCGAGCTGCACGCGACCAGATTGAATAAGTCGTTTCTGCCTGTATTTTTTCGACCCAATTCGACTGGTGAAATCAATGACAAGTGTGTCATTTTTTTTTCTCCTTTTCAACACGAAACAGCCCTTTTCCTTTTATTTCTTTCTTCTTTTCTTTTATTTTTGAAATGGAAGTAGACCAACTACGATATTGTGAGGATCGTTATTATCGAAGGCCTTTTAACTGTGAGTCTCTTTTATATTATTTTCCTATATAAAAGACTTAGCTATCACGTAATTCAGAAGTTGCGTTCGGATTATTGCCTCCCATGAAGAGGCTATTTAATTTATTATATCTCTGACTTCCCGAGCTGCTCATTGTATTTGAAGCTGATGAATTATGTTGTTGGTAGCCAGCACTTCGTGGAAAACTGGGCACTTTATCTGGAACAATCATCAAAATTGATAGGAGTTAAATAAAATTCTCTATTTTATATACGCTTACGAGATTTTTCGAATGTGAAATCGATTTTTTTGCTACTTGTAAATTGAAAATAATTAAATTTAAAACTAAATTAAAATAATTGAAACTAAATTCAACCTTAATAGTTAATATAAATTTAAATTAAAAGAAAATTAGCCCTAGGAACTTATTTTTAAATAAACAAATAAAATTAAAAAAAAAAATTATATTAACAATGACATTTTTTAAAATATATTTGAAAAAAATTTTTCCATAATTGAGAAAAAATTATTTAATTTAAAGAATTGTTCAGATGGGAAAAGGAATTTTAATATTAAAATATAATTGAATTTAAAGAAACAAATCAGTCTGAAAATGCTTGAATTTTGAAAATGTTACGATATTTTTCTTCTGATAGGAATTTCTATAAAAATTCATTATTTGAGTTTTACAATAATCCAATTTATAGAACTGAACTAATAATATAAATTAAAACTTTAAGATTACATTTTAAAACAAATATATTCATGAAAAGTAAATTTGATTATTTCAGTTTTACAACAATCGAATTTAAAGAACCCAATGAACTCAATTAATAAAGTCAATTAAAACTTTAAGAAATAACATTTTAAAGCATAAATTTCTCATGAAAAACAATTTTAAAAGTTTAATTACTTAAAAAATTTTACAATTTCTAGAATAAATACATTGTTAAATAATAGAATTTATGGAAGTATTTTATTATTTTTAAAAATTTTAATAAAATTCTTGCAAAAAATTAAATTACCTACTTTTGAAAATTTTAATAACATTCTTTGGAAGAATTCGATTATTTTCATAAGCAATAAAAATTCTTTGCGAGAATTTAATTATTTTCAAATTTTTGTGATAAAAACTTCACAAGAATTCAATGATTTTCAATACAATAACTGAATTTAATTATTTTTTTTTTAAAATACTATAAGATTTTAATCTTTGGAAAAATTCAATTATTTTCAAAAAAATTTCACAACAGAATTCAATTTTTTTCTTAATTCGGTATAAAAAATTCCAATAGAATTCAAATATTTTTCAAAATTTTAATAAATTCTTTAAAAAAATTCAATTACATTTAAAAAGCAGAAAAATTCAATTAATTTTAATAAAATTTCGTGACAGATTTCAATTTTAAAAAAATTTTTAAGAATATTTTTCGGAAAAATTTAATTATTTTCTAAAATTTTAATAAATTCTTTGAAACAATTCAATTATATTTATAAATAGTAAAATTCATTGCAAAAATTCAATTATTTTCCAAAAAAATTTCACTAAAGAATTCAATTTTTTTCTTAATTCGTTATAAAGTTTTTCGAAAGAATTCAATTATTTTCTAAAATAGTTTAAGATTTTAATCTTTGAAAAAATTGAATTATTTTCAAAAAAAGTTCACGAAAGAATTGAATTTTTTCTTAATTCGGTATAAAAAACTTCAATAAAATTCAATTATTTTTCAAAATTTTAAAAAATTATTTTAAAAAATTCAATTATATTTAAAGAATATTATTCAATTATTCAATTATTTTTAAAAATTTTAATCAATTCTTTGAAAAAATGTGTATATATATAAAAAATAGTAAAATTCTTTGCAAAAATTCAATTATTTTTAATACAATTTTAATATAATTTCATGACAGAATTCAATTTTAAAAAAAAATGTAATATTTTTCGAAAAAATTTAATTATTTTCTAAAATTTTAATAAATTTATCAAAACAATTCAATTATATTTATAAATAGTAAAATTCATTGCAAAAATTCAATTATTTTCTAAAATAGTTTAAGATTTTAATCTTTGAAAAAATTCAATTATTTTCAAAAAAATTTCACAAAAGAATTCAATTTTTTTATTAATTTGGTATAAAAATTTCAATAAAATTCAAATTATTTTTCAAAATTTTAATAAATTTTTTGAAAAAATTTAATTATATTCAAAGAATATTATTCAATTATTTAATTGTTCTTAATACAATTTTAATAAAATTTCATAACCGAATTCAATTTTTAAAAATTTTTTAATAATTTTTTGAAAAAATTCAATTATTTTCTAAAATTTTAATAAATCTTTCCAAACAATTCAATTATATTTATAAATAAATAAAATAAAATTGCAAAAATTCAATTAATTTAAAAAAAATTGCACTAAAGAATCCAATTTTTTTTTCTTAATTCGGTATAAAAAATTTCAATAGAATTCAATTATTTTTCAAAATTTTAATAAATTCTTTGAAAAAATTTAATTTTAATATTTAAAGAATAATTGAATAATAATTCAATTATTCAATTATTTTTAATACAATTTTACTAAAATTTCATGACAGAATTCGATTTTAAAAATTTTTTAAATATTTTTTCAAAAGAATTTAATTATTTTCTAAAATTTTAATAAATTCTTTGAAAAAATGTAATTTATTATTTTCTAAAATTTTTAATTAAAATTATTAAAGAAACAAACTCTATTATTTAAAGAAAAATTCAAAGAAAATTCTTCAAAAAGAATTTAGTTAGAATTTTCAAAAATTTTAACAAAATTTTTCGCGAAAATTGAATTATTTTACTAAATAGTAAAATTCTTCGAAGGAATTCTATTAATATCAAATATTTTTTTAATAAAATTCTTTGCAACAGTTCCGATGATTTTTAATGTACTTTAATTTTAAAATTGAAAATATTTGAAAAGAAAAATATTTAAAAACTTAAGTAACAAAAAAGCAAACAACTAACTTCAAACTGAGAACAAATTACCGGAATACAATGATTATTAATATAAAGATTAATTTGTTTGTAGAATCAAGTTGTAAAATAATTAAAGTTATGGAATCATTAAGCATAAAAATAATTTTGAAATAACTTTAATTTCAAAATATATTAATTACCATACAAAGAAAATGAAATTTGTAAAATAATTGAATTTCTAGAATAATTGAACTGAAATGATTTTGAAAAACAATTGAACAGTGAAGAATTACACTGGGTTACAAAAAAATGGTCATATCGTGTTTATTCAAAGTTTCCTGTGTTTATTGAAAGTTTAGGTGTCACTGAATAAGAATATACCAGTAAAACATTTTTTCATTCGGTCATTCCCTTAAAAAAACGAGTTTAAAGTGTCAAAAACCGTATTTTTAGCACTTATTATGGCAGCGTAACAAGAAAACGCAACATGATAAAAATCTCTACAAGAGCTTAAATAAAAGCTTAAACCTTCAACTTTGAGGCTCAGAACTGAAAAGTACTTAAATAATCAATGAAAACCTCCTTAATTAAGCAGTCGCTACCTGAAATTGTCAAAAAAAGCTAGAACAGGAAGCAATTGGTAAAAATCGATTTCCTTAAGCGGATTCGGTTGCAACTTGTTATTTGAAGTTTTTTGAGGTTTCTAATGACGAATTGGAACTTAGATTTAAAAATTTCAAAATGGCGGACTGAAAATAATGAATTCACTCAATTTTTCAAAATTTGCGTTAATAATTTTAAAAAATTGAGTCCGCCACTTTGAAATTTTTCAAATCTAAGTTCCAATTCGTCATTAGAAACCTCAAAAACCTAAAATAACAATTTGCAACCGAATCCGGTTAGGGAAATTGATTTTTACCAAGTGCTACCTAACCCAGCTTTTTTGATAATTTCAGATAGTGACTGCAGGTTTTCAGTGCTTATTTAAGTACTTTTCAGTTCTGAGCCTTAAAGTTGAAGGTTTAAGCTTTTATTTAAGCTTTTGTAGAGATTTTTATCATGTTGCGTTTTCTTGTTACGCTGCCTCAAAAAGTGCTAAAAATACGGTTTTTTGAGACTTTAAACTCGTTTTTTAAGGGAATGACCGAATGAAAAAAAGTTTTTCTGGTATATTCTTATTCTGTGACACCTAAACTTTCAATAAACACAGTAAATTTTAAATAAACACGACATGACCATTTTTTTGTAACCCAGTGTTATATTTATATAATAAATGAATAGAGAAATTAATTAAGAAATTAATTAACAAACTGCTTGAATTTGGAAGAAAATAAAAAATAATTTTTAGTGAAGTAATAAGTACCTAATTACATATTTGAAAAATTGATTGAAAATAAAAATTTAATAAAGATGGTTCAAATTAAAAATTGAAATTGTAACGATATATTATTAAGAGTTGAGAAAATATTTATAACTGAATTGCAGTTGCTCTACCTTTACTTCTGTTGTGCCTCAGTCTCTCTTGTGAATTAACAGGACCGCACTGCCTCTGGGGAATAGATGAATAATTGCTTTCGCTGCTGTACGTCGGTGAAGTTGTCCTGTTCGTTCTTCTACGGGGACTTCTATTATTTCTATTCCTCGAATTAGCTCGGTTGTGCGTGCAACTTGGCTGAAACTGACTATTATACTCCATAGTGTCAGCGTAGAGACAACTCGACTCAGAGCACGAGCAACACATATCCGAATGTGTATTCGAGTCGCATGACTTTCTATCCCACTCATCATTCTCCGGATGATATAAATTTTCATTTCTAAACATTTCCTCATTGTGTCGATAAACATCGTCGAGATCCATTCGATGATTCGTACGCTTATTGTACGAATCATGATTTCGATAATCATCGCCTCCATTCTGATGACCGTAAATAACCGAACCACTTTCGTACTCGTTTTCTTGGGTCTTGAAGTCGTAGTGATTGAAGCCCTGGGGGAAGGAGGGTACAGGTGGGGGGTTTGTTTGAGGCGGTAGGGTTGTGTACCTGCCGCCTTGTTGGTGGAGACTTGCAGCGACATCGTGAGACTGGGAGTTCCATGGCATTGGCGATGAGGAGAATGCGGGTCCGATTCGAACCGGAGGTGTTGGTGGACTTTGGGAATTATTCGAGTGTCCCTCCATGTCGCTTTGTGGGTTCCTTTTGGCAAGATGGGGACTGAATGATTGATGTTGTAAGCGAGCGGCGAGTGAATTTGAAGAAGCCGGCGGTGGATGCTCGGGTGGCGGTGGTAGCATGTCACACCAATTTGGCATTGTTTGGGAATTGCCGTCATTAATTCTGTATTGCGGTCTACGTTGGATCTCCATATTCTCGTCGGTGTAGACACTGGTGTTATCGCTGCTGGGCGAAATTGTCGATTTATTCTGATCTTGATTTGAATCGAGACTCGAGTAATCGGGCTTTACGCAGGAATCGCTGGAGTTTGATTTTTGACCGCTGGTCTCCATTGATTCGGGACTTGGATTCGCGACGCATAATGTTGTTGTTGCGTATGGTTCGGGTGGTGCTTGAATTTGTTTGCGGGTGTTGTAGAATGTTGTGAGATTCACTTCGGCGTATTCGGAACCTGCCATACTGACGATGCCCGGCGCTAGGAGTGGTTGATTGTTGAGTAATTTTGTTTCGCAGTCTTTGTCATTGGAACTCTGGAGAGTGTTTGTTGGTCGCCAACCTCGCTCCAGCCAGAGGGAATCTTTATTCAATTGGCAAATGTCGTTCGCGGTTCCTACAGGTACGTTCAGGTGGCCCAATTGTTTGCTCATTGCTTGCTTTCGTCGGACGTATAGGGTTCCTAAGAGGGCCGCTATTATCGTGAAGACCATTGTGATTATCAGAATTAGGAACCAAGTTTCCCTGACGACGGACATTCCACCGTGACTTGGATCCGTTCGCGGCGGAACTTGAGACAGTTGACCGGGGTCCATGTTCAAAAGTGTTGGCGGCGAGAAGGGACCGATACCGGCGCGGGTCAATCCAGCGACCCTCGCTGTATAAAGTCCTCCGGTCGATAGACTGTTTATAATCACCGATGTCGTCGAAGCGTTCAATGACATTTGCCCCAAAATTTTGTTACTACTGTTGCTCTTTATTTGAATCTGTAAAAAATTACAACAAACACATTAATAATATAGAAATAAATTAATAAATTAACAAACAATTAATAAATTTTGAAAATAATTGAATTTTATGAACAATTTTTTTTCAAACTTTTAAAATAATCGTGTTTGTTAATAATTAAATTGAACATTTTATTATTGAGTTTTAATAAAATTTTAGGAAATAATTGAATTCTTTCGAAAAATTTTATAACGAATTAAGAAAAAAATGAATTAATTTTGTAATAAATTTTACTACTTATAAATATAATTGAATTGTTTCGAAGGATTTAATAAAATTTCTTTAATATTACTTTATTTATTTAATGTTACTTCAACGTTTCGAAAGACTTGATTATTATTAGAAAAAATAAAAATAAAAAACTAGTCTGAAAAATTATAATCAAATTCTTTAAAGAGATTCAATTATTTTCAAAAATATTCGAAATTCAATTATTTTCAATATCTATAGTATTTTCATAAAATTTCGCTAAAAGAATTCAATTATTAAAAAAAAAAAATTAACAAAATACATACAAAAATCAATTATTTTTATAAATAATAAATTCTCCACAAGAATTCAATGAATTTAGAATAACATTTTTAAAAAAAATCAATTATTTAACAAAATTTTTTATAAAATTCTTCACAATAATTCAATTACTTTCATAAATAATAAAGCTCATCGAAGAATTTAATTTATTTTTAATTTTAATACAATTTTAAATTAATTTAGAAAAATTCAATTATTTTCACAAATAAAATTTTCCACAAGAATTCCATTATTCTTGAAAATTTTAATAAAAGTCTTAGCAACTATTCAATTATTTTCATAAATAATAAAATTCATTGCAGGATTTCAATTATTTTTAATACAATTTTGCAGAAATTTCTCAAAAAAATGTAATTATTCTTAAAAATTTTGATTTCAACTCCTCGAAAAAATCAATTATTTACAAAAAAATGTTATTTCAAAATTCTTTGTAAGAATTCAATTATTTTCACATAATTTAATAAAATTGTTTCCAAAGAAATCAATTATTTTAAATACAATTTTTTTGTTGAAATAATTTAATTATTCCTTTAGATTTTAATAAAATTCTTCCCAAGAATTCAATTTTATTTACATAAATAATTCTTCGAAAGAATTCTATTATTAAAGATAAATAACATAATTATTCCCTAAAATTCAATTTTTTTTGTCATTTTAATTATAAAAATAGTTATAAAAATTCTTTGCAAAATTTCATTATTTTCAAAAAAATATTAATATTCATCACAAGAATTCAATTATTTTTAAAAGTAATAAATTTCTTTTTGGAAATTCAATTATTTAAAAAAATTGTAATAAAATCGTTTGTAAGAATTCAGTTATTTTTAATTTTTATAAATAATAAAATGCTTTTTAGGAATTATTTTCAATTATTTTCAAAAAAATTTTAATAAAATACCACGAAAACATTCAATTATTGTCAAAATTTTTAATAAAATTCTTTGCAAAATTTAATTATTTTTTTAAAAATTTAAATAAGAAAAGAATAAGAGGAAAGTAAATATTTCTGATGAAAATTAGGAAAAAGTCAAGAAAAAAATAGAATAAAATTTTTGTTAGTTTTGTAAAATGTCTAAAACGAGTTTTTTTTGTCGTCTAGTTTTTTTTCTTAGTTTGAAAGCTACATTTTAAAAATTAATTATCAAGTGAAAAGTCTGAAAATAAAATCAGAGAATTGTTATTTTTTCGAAAAACAATTCTTTTTAAATTCAAAACAGAATTCTGAATTTTTCTTCCAAGTTAATGCTGTTTATTCTTTTTTTTTTTAAATAAAATAGAAAAATTTCAAATAAAAAAATATGTGGACGTTAATTGGTAAATTAAAAGAGAGGACAAAAAGGAAGTTGTAAATGAAATTCGCACCTTGTAGCCGACTAATTGGCCATTTTGTGTCTCTTTTGGTGGTGGTGACCAACGAACGAATGCAGACGTGATGTTGATCATTCCAACGTGAACGTTTTCAGGAGCACCGGAGGGCGTATCTTCTTGAGTTGTGGCTAATTTTACATTGCTCGGACGTCCCTCAATTGTCTTGTAGAATGGAACAAGGAAAAATTCGTATCGTGCGTACTTTTTCAGATTAGTTAAAACATAACTCGTTGCACCGGCATTCAACACTGTCACCATTTGATATTCGGGCTTTTCTGACGCCTCGCGATAACGAATGTAGAGACCTTCCACTAAATCCGCAGCTCCAAGTATCTAGATAAATACAAAATTAATGATTTATATTAAAAATATATAAATAATTCGAATTCATTAAAATATAATAATTATTTTTGTTGGAAATTTAGAAGCGAGAGGAGGAGGAGGGGTATTAAAAAAAATTTTGGTACTTACGTCCCACATAATTTTGACACTTGAACTGCTGAGCGATTGAACGTCTCTCAAGTGAAGGATTTCACTGTTAAGACGATCTCTTGCTCTGATGAGTTCTATCTGAGGCACTGTATGTTGATTTGCGGTCACCGTGTGAGCGACGTCTGACATTGGACCGGGAAGTGACAAACCCTGACTATTTTCTGCTCGAACTAAGAAAACGTAGTTTGTGTCCGGTTTCAAATCAATGACCTGAAAAACGAATTAAAATTAAAATTTGACTCAAATAGAAATTCGATTTGAATAAAAATTTAGTTAAACAGAAATTTGAATGAAAATTTAGTGAAACAAATTCGACATCGAGTAAAAATTTAATTAACCAGAAATTCATTTATATTCAGCGAAATTTAATCAAGTGAAAGTCTTCTTAATTTAAAACCTCTTTGATATTAAAAATCCACTCCAATCAAAATGTCCCTTCGATTTAAATTCGTCTAAAACGGAGAATTATCATTAATTGGGAAATATCGAAACTCCGAATCAATGAGCCCCCGGGGGGTGTATACAAATTAATTAAATTTCGATTCTATGAAAATGAATTTGAAAAAAAGTCCACTCACAGTGTAAGTGTCATCAGTAATTCCAGTTGCAGCGAGCACCCATCCAGTGTTCAAATTACTGCTGAAATACTCGATATTATAGCCAATAATTTTGCTCTGACCCTCGTGACCTGGACTCCAGGTCAATGTGACACTATTACTCGTCGTATTAACGATTCGCGGTTTGCTTGGATTTTGTGGTAAGGCGGCAATATCCGGTGTACTGTGAAGTGTCGTCGACGAGCTCACAGTCAATGCCGCTGACCAGGAAGTGTTACCAGATTCCGATGAAGCGATGCAAGTGTAAAGTCCCGAATCACTTGTCTGTAGATCCTCAATGAAGAGGGTGCCATTATTGGCCATTGTTATGCGACTTCCCAATTTTACCAAAGCACCGTCCTTGTGCCAATTTACTTTTGGATTTGGTGTGCCGACAGCGCGACAAGGCATTGTGGCAGTGCTCTTTAGAAGGAGTGTTTGATTCGCTGGTCCCAATTCGATAATTGGCGGTGGTATTTCCTCGGTCGACGTCACCTGAAGGAATACAGTGGCAGTGCTGGCGCCCGCTTGACTTATTGCACTACAAACGTAGTGGCCTTCGTCCTTGCGAATAATTCCCTTTATGTGAAGACTACCCTCTTCGGTTATTGTATAACGCTCTTGATATGTATTGCCAGGGAACATTAATTCCTGTGAGCCTTCGCGGGTCCAAAAAATTGATGGTTTCGGCGCACCACGCGCTGAACACGCGAATGTCACGTCTGATCCCGTGCTTATGGCTTCGTCCTTGGGAAAGTTGGTAAATACCGGACGAGCTGAAAATAAAAATTACGATTTTAGTAACGGAAATTTTTGTTTCATAAATTTTTAAATTGTTTAAACAATTTTTTATTGTCCGGCTTCACAGTCTGTCCCCTATTTCCTTAAAAGTCCCCTTTTTTAATTTTGGCCTCTAAACGTACCCTATTTTGAAAATTTCCCCTATTTTCGTGCGAGTTTCGTCGCAGGAAATCAATTATTTTCAATAATTTTTAAGTAATTCTGCAAAAGAATTCAATTATCTTGATAACCAACAAAATTCTCCCCATAAAATCAATTATTATTTTTAATGAAATTATTTTCTAAAATTCAATTATTTTGATAAATATCAAAATTCTTCTCGAGAATTCAATTACTGTCAAAAATTTTAATTAAATTCCTGGCAAAATTTCAATTATTTAAACAAAATTTAATAAAATACTTTGCAGGAATTCAATTATTTTTATAAATAGCAACATTTTTCGCCAAAAATTCAATTATTTTCAAAAAATGAAATAAAATTCTTTGCAACATTTCAATTATTTACAAAAGTTTATCGTAATTCAACGAATTTCAATATTTACTATTTTCATAAAATTTATCAACACATTTAATTATAGAAACAACTTGTTGATACAATTCTACGAAAAGATTCAATTATTTTTATAAATAATAAAATTTCATTTACGAATTCAATTATTTTCATCGCAGAATTTTAAATATTTTTAATACAATTTTAAATAAATTTCTTGAAAAATGCAATTATTATTAAAAATTTTATTAAAATCTGAGGAAAGAATTCAATTTTAAAAAACATTCAATTATTCAATAAAACAATAAAATTTGTTGCAATAATTTAAATATTTTCATAAATAACATTTAATTCGTAGCAGAAAATCAATTATTTTCAAAAATTTTTAAGTAATTTTGCAAAAGATTTAAATTGGCTTGATAAACAACAAAATCGCATAAATTCTTAAATAAATCCCATAAAATCAATTATTCTAAAAAAATTTAATAAAATTCTTTTCCAAAATTCAATTATTTTGATAAATATTCAAAATATTAAAATTTTAATGAAATTTATTATATTAAAGAATTTTATAACAATATATATTTTAATATTTCATTAAAATTTTAATATTTATATTCATCACAAGAATTCAATTCTTTTGAAAAGTAATAAAATACTTTGCAGAAATTAAATTATTTTCAAAACTTTTTAAAAATTCTCGTCAAGAATTAAATTATCTTATTGAATTATTAAATTATTATTATTATTTAATTATTATTATTATTTATTAAATTATCTTTATAAATAGATAGGGAAATTCTTCTCAAGAATTAAATTACTGTCAAAAAATTTTTTTAAATTGTTCTCAAGAAGTCAATTATTTTTAAAAATTTTAAGAAAATTCTTCTCATGAATGCAATTGTTTTCAAAAATTATTATTTAAATTCTTCTCAGGAATTCAATTATTTTTAAAAAATTTAATAAAATTCTGCAAAAAGTTTTCAAATTATTTTCAAAAATTGTTATAAAATTCTTTAATATAATAAATTTCATTAAAATTTTAATTAAATTCCTTAAAAGAAATTAAATCCTATTTTCAAAAATTGTTAATACAATTCTTCGTAAAAATTAAATTTTAAGAAACATTCAATATTATTTTATTTTGTATTTAAATAATTGATTTCTCGTAGAATTAAATTATTGTTTTTCGTACTTTTAACTAACAATTCTGTAGAATTAATTTTTTTGAAAAAGTTTAATTGAATAATAATTGATGTTATTGATTTAAAGTAGAATTTTTGTTAAAAATTCTAGAAAATGTTAATTAAATTGAAATGATACAAATAATTTTGATTATTTTTTATGTTTTATAAAGTTGTTCAATTTGAAAAGGTTTGAATTTAGAATTTTTGAACATCTTATTTCCAATAAAAAAAAAATGATTAAATATTTATTTTAAATAAAACTATTGATGTTTTCGAAAATTTTTTTTTTCTTTTGAAGAAAGTAAATAAATTTAATAAAACATTTTTTTGTGTATCTAATAATTTTTAGAGTGAATCAGAAAATTCAAATATATGGAAAAAATTTTTAAATTTTACAAATTATTTTTAACATTTTGGAGAAAAAAATCATGTTTAAAATTTTTAATTAAAATTCATCAAAAAAATTAATTAGTTGTTTAAATTATATACAAAAATTCTTTTAATTCAATTATTTTCGAAAAATTACATGAGAATATTTTTAAAAACTAATTATTAGAATTGTTTTCTAATAATTTTTTAAGATTCAATTTATCTACCGACAATGTAAATATAAAAATTTATATAAATTTACTTTTTGGATTTATTTTTGAGAAATCATGGTTCTGTTTATAATTAAAATTCTTGAAAAATTTGATCATTTTTATTTACATTTTTTAAAAATTCAAGATTTTACCTTAATTGTTTGGAAATTTTTCAAAATTGAAAAGCTATTGTTTTTCTTATTTTAAAATATTTAAAAAAAATTAATTGTGATAATTTCTTTATAATTTTTTGAAAATTTTATATCTTAATAGCTTAAAAAACTGCGGAGAGTTTCAATTATTATAAAAAATTGAGTTTTTGTATTTAAATAATTAAATTCTATTAAGTAATTTTGGAAAACTATTTAAATTAATTGATTCTGAGTCAAAGTTTAGTGGAAAATATTGTAGAAATTAATTGAATTCAAAAAGGGTTATAATTGTAATTTAGAAATTATTAAAATATAATTATTTTTTAGAAATTATTTGAATTCATAAATTTTACTCATTTTCCATAAAACATTCATATTTTCCTGTAAAAAGAATTTTGTCAAAGAAAGTAATTTTAATGTCAGTAAATTCATAAATTGTCATAGGGAAGTTGGTAAACTGAAAAACTTGTGACCACCCTGATTTAATTCGAGAAATTTTTTTTTAATTAAGAGACTTAGAAAAAAAGTCTTGAGAATATAGTTTGAGGAATTAATTATTTTTTTTCTGCTTACAATGAACGGTGAGAGTGGCGCTTGCGGAAATGGCACCGACACCATTCTCGGCGTCGCAAATGTAGACACCTTGATCCTGAGCGGTGACCCTCTCGATCCTGAGACTTTTATTGTCCAAAATGTGAGCCCTGCCGATTGGCATTTTTCCATCGTTTCGTCGCCAGAGAATTTCGGGCATTGGATCGCCCCCGACGCGGCAGGCGAATTCGGCAGTTTGATCAGTCAATATTGTTTGATTCAATGGCACCAAGTGGAAAAATGGTTTCACTGAAAAGAACAAATTAATTAAATTTTATTTTTAAATATTCTACTTTAATTTCTAAAGTTTTTAATAGTAATTTAAAATTTAAATTAAAAATATTATTTGATTCGATTAAATATTTAATTGATCGGTCAATTAATCGGTTATTTGAATCAAATAATTTTTTTTCAGTGTGATTTTTTAATTCGAGTAGAAATAAAAATTTCTTCTTACCGTGAACGGTTAAAGCGGCCACTTTTGATTCTCTCGCTCCAACCATATTTGTAGCGACACATTGATATTTTCCTTGATCGGTTTGCCTCACGTCCGATATCATCAGATTTCCTCCATCGACAAGAGTTATTCTGTAAAAATTCGAAAAAAATTAAAAATTAAAAATGAAATAAAATAAAATTAATTAATTAATTAATTAAATTAAATTAAAAATATTAAAATTCTGTCGATAAAAATCGACAGAAATTTTTTGCTCTGAAATATTTTTATACAAATAGAAAATACAAAATCTAAACTATAGAGAAATTGAATTTTTCTTTTTTTTTATAAACTTTAAATAATTTCTCAGATATCTTAATGAATATTGCGCGTCTCGACAATTTCATGGGATCGATGATGATTATATGTAGATCGTTTGTATTAAATGCTATTCTATAGGCATCGGAATTCAGGAAGTTGGAGGCGGTTTACAGAGAGAGAGAGAGAGAGAGAGAGAGAGGTGAAGAGGTGCAGGACTATAGTAAGGGAATCAATAGCTTCTCGATTGTGTCCTCTAATTTATAGTATCAATTAATTTTAGCGGCGAGAGCGCGAATCCCCCGAGTCTCGAGATGCAGCCTCGTGCCAGGAGTGCGGCTCGATTTAATTTCTATTAGTCGCGCCAATCCATTATCCATTTTATTCTCCATGCCATGAATAAATAGATTTTTAAAAAATAAAATAGAAAACGATTTTTAAAAAATCACTAGGTAATAACCGGAAAATTATTTTTAAACAAATAAGATTTAAAAATAAGATTTAAAAAAAATTTCTTATTAAATCAGAAAAATTATTGGAAAAAGATTCTTTTAGTGCAAAAAAAAAGTAATTTTTAGACTAAATTTTTGATTTTCGATTTTTAATTTTAGTCATTTATAAATTATAGTAAAAAAAACAAATTTTAGTCAGAAAAAATTTTTTTTTAACATTTTCTATTTTTTAAAAAATAAAATTACTAATTTCAAATCAGTAGTAAAATACTGTTTTAGTAAGACATGAGTTTTTATTTCTTGTAAAGAAATTTGAACCAGTGGTAAAAGTCATTTATGGTCAGACAAACCATCTTCCATTCTGACAAATAAATTTCGAATTTAAGTAGTAAAATTCAGTGTTAGACAGGCTAAAATATAAATAAATTTTAAATGAAATAATAAAAATATTTTTTTAACACAATAAATTTTCAGTTTCTTGTAAAATATTTTTTAACCAACAATGACAGGATTAGTAAAAATGTTTAATTGGTTTAAATTAGTGACTGACTTTTTGTTTTTGAATTATTAAATTTTACTAATAAATTAGTTGAAATTACCAGTAAAATTATATTTTAATAATTTCTAAATTACAAATATAACCCTTTCTGAATTCAATTAATTTAAATAATTTTTCAAAAGTTCTTCTAGAATTCAATTATTTGAAAACAAAAACTCAATTTTTTATAATTGTATAATTTTTTAAGCTAATTAGGATATAAAATTTTCAAAAAATTCTAAAGAAATTCTCAAAATTAATTTTTTTGAAAATATTTTAAAATAAGAAAAACAATAGCTTTTCAATTTTGAAAAATTTCCAAACAATTAAAATTTGGTAAAATTTTGAATTTTTAAAAAATATAAATAAAACCCTTTCTGAATTCAATTAATTTCTACAATTTTTAACTAAACTTCATCTGTGAATCAATTAATTTAAAAAATTCTCCAAAAGTTCTTCTAGAATTCAGTTATTTAAAAACAAAAACTCAATTTTTTTTATAATTCTATAGTTTTTTAAGCTATTAAGATATCATATTTTTAAAAATTATAAAAAAATTCTCACAATTATTTTTTTAAAAATATTTTAAAATAAAAAAAATAATAGCTTTTCAATTTTGAAAAATTTCCAAACAATTAAAATTTGGTAAAATCTTAAAAATAATTGAATTTTTGAAAAATATAAATAATAATGATCAAATTTTTCAAGAATTTTAATTATAAACTGGACCATGCGTTTCTGAAAAATAAATCCAAAAAGTAAATTTTCATTAATTTTTTAATTCACATTGTCGGAAGGTAATTGGATTTAAAAAAATTATTAGAAAACAATTCGAATAATTAGTTTTTTAAAAATATTCTCATCTAATTTTTCAAAAAACAATTGAATTAAAAGAATTTTTTTATATAATTCAAAAAATTAATTAATTTTTTTGATGAATTTTAATTAAAAATTTTAAACATGATTTTTTTCTCCAAAATGTTAAAAATAATTTGTAAAATTTAAAAAATTTTTCCATACATTTAAATTTTTGGAAATATGTTAATTGAAAATACTTAAAAATATGGAATTTTATGAAATTAGAAGCTAATTTTCATTAGTTTTCATTTTTAAATTTACATCATTAAACATTTTTTTTTGATAATTCCATTTTTTTTCCAAAATTTGCAATGAAAATTTTTCAAAAAGTTGATTTTCAAAAATTGTAACAAAATACTTGAAAACAATTAATTATTTAAAAATTTAGGGTGTCCACTATTTTCGTTGAACAAAATTCCTGGTTATTTCTCTGTTTTGACATAATTTTTCCCGGTTTTTTTCTCATCGAATTTAAATTTATTTGATTTCGAATTACATAAATAAATCTACAAATGGCTTTTAAAAATTTTTATTACAATATTGTTCATAAACTCATTCTTTTCTTTTTGTAAAAGAATAACAATAATAATAAATTGAATAACATGTATATATATATATATATAGCTTCTCAGATAAACTTGCTAATAGAAAAAAAAATCTTACAAAAGAAAAACCTGTATGTAGAAAATAGAAATGAGAAAAATAATAATTTTAGAAAGTGGAAAATAGAAAATAAAAAATAAATAAATATTAAAAATAGAAAAATTGAAATAAATGCGATAAAAATATATTACGGAAATTAAAAGTAAAAAGCAGATAAATAAATAATACAAAATTAAAAATAAAAACACAATTAAAAAAATATAAATTTTTCTTCTCTGCCTTTTTTTATTCCAAGTAGAGAATTTTTTTCTCTACTATTTTTAGGGATAAAAATTAGATTTTTTTTTTTTTGGTTTCTGATTCGTTGAATGTTAAATAATGTGGGGACAAATAAAAATAAAGATTTAGGTACAATATATATACATATATAGTAGCGGAGACCAATGAGAGAATAATCTCAAGACACAAGAGCTCGTAATCTACTGCGTATTTGCATGAAAATGGCGCTAAAGGATGTCTCCCGTTATTCTTGTCCGCGTTATCTTTGTCCGTTCGTTGAGGAGGAAGACGAACTCATTATATTCGGATTCACTCCCACTGCGCGAGTTGTTCGAAATACCTCTTGGCAGTTTCTTTCCACTACTCATCTCTGGACCAGTTGTTAAACACAAGGGGAGGGAGTGTACCTCATAAAAAAAAATACAAATATTTTCCTTCTTTTGTTCATTCGCCCCCCCCACCCCCATATTTTTGCTTATTGTCAAGAAATGTAAAACTTTGATCAAAAATATCTTTTTCTTTCAATTCTCCCCTTTTTTTTTGTTTCTATCTTTTTTTTCTATTTTTGAAGAAAATTCTATTTTTAATATTGAAAGAAATTATTTTCAAAATAATTTTTTTTTCCTAAATAAAATAAATAATAAATATATACATGTGTATTTATATTTCACTGGAATATAATTATATATTTTTCAGAGAAGTAAATTTTAATTTTTCGAATTTACATATAATTTGTTGGGAATTTTTCATTTCTAAAAAGGAATTTTTTTTTATTCTTCAAAAGTAATTCTGCAAAAGTAATTCTTCAAAAGTAATTCTGCATCATTTTTTTGTATGTATGTATATATAATAGAAAAAAAGAAAGATAGAAGCAATGAGTTTAAAGGCAGTTGCAATGTATTCTTGAAAAAGTCAAAGGGAAAGAAAAGAAAAAGCAACGAAAAATGTCGCAAAAAAAAAAGAGAGAGAGAGAGAGAGAGAGAGAGAGAGAGAGAGAGAGCAGCAAAGTCCAGCGCAAGTTTCTTTTTGTGACGTAAAAAGCTTCTCAGATAAATTTGCTAATAGAAATCTTTCAAAAGAAACCTGTATTCAAGTTTTCTTTTGAGGCAAAAATATTTTTTTTTTTAAATATACACACAATCAGTTTATTTTTTTTTTCTGGATATATGATATGTTATTTGGAAAATTAAATTATATTATATAATTTTTTTTATACCCAGTGACCAGAAATATTTTCCGCTCATTTTGTTTTAATTTTCGTATATTTATCGTATATATAAAATATTTATATATATATATATGGGCAATTCCACGTGAGATTTCAGTTGACCTCTTAAAATCGGCCAAAAATATTTTTTTTCTATTCTGTATTGAAAAAAAACAGATACGTATTTTTTTATTATTTTTTTGGAGGCCAAATTTTTGAGTTATGAATTTTCAAAATTTTCGTTTTTTAAATGAAGATATATTTTTAATGTCAGATAACTCAAAAAATATTGCTTCTTTTCATTTTTTGACAAGAGAAAAAAAGTTTTGTTTTTCTCTCTACTTTTGAATAATCATAACAAAAAAAAAATTTTTTCATTTTTTATTAAAAAAATAAAAAAATTTTATAAACAAATTAATTTTTTTTAACTTTGGGTATGATAAATTTTTAATTTTCTTTTTCTAAAACATACCTGGAAATGATAACAAGGTTTTGCAAAAAGTTTCAGAGTGGGCCTGACAAATTTGATGGGTCCAAAAAAATAATTAAGCTCTCTGTGCAGGTCGCACGCACGTGGCACAATGGGACTTTTTTACAATTTATTATTAAAAATTGTTTAGAGCCTAAAAATTCAATAATAATCAAAATCCGATAAAATTTGTAGGCTCTAGACAATTTTTAATAATAAATTGTAAAAAAATCCCATTGTGCCACGTGCGTGCGACCTGCACGGACAGCTTAATTTTTTTTTTGGACCCATCAAACTTGTCAGGCCCACTCTGAAACTTTTTGCAAAACCTTCTTATCATTTCCAGGTATGTTTTAGAAAAAGAAAATTAAAAATTTATCATACCCAAAGTTAAAAAAAATTAATTTGTTTAAAAATTTTTTTTATTT